GTCTGGTAGTTCAAGAGTGTACAGTGGAGAGGTCAAGAGTCAAGGGACCCCCAGAGTATGGTGATTAGGGACAAGCTCCTAGAGCTAGTCAGGATAGGTCCAAAACTCATCCTGCTGCTTCTCAGATATGAAACAGCAGGCAAATTACCTAACCTCTTTATGCCTCATCTGAAGATAATATGATGATATTATCCACTTTGTATGATTGTCATTTGGATCAAAGATTCTAATAAAATACAAATTGCTAATAATAGAGTKTCTCTCATAGTGCACACAGCTTTGTTTTTTGAATTCATTATATGTTCATTAATGTGGTTGACCCACAAGAAAGAAACAAATTTTTGAAATGATTTACACTAATGAATAAATGACAGACCACAAATCATGCTTTAAAGTGGACTGCTACTAGTCCCAGACATCTCTAGTTTGCTCATGCTATGGTCTGAATATTTGTTTCCTTCTAAAATAACCTCAAGGTGGTGATTATCACCCTTTGAAAGGTGATTAGATTCTCAGGGTAGAACTCYCATGAAAGAGAGTAGTGCTCTTTTAAAATAGGTCCAAGGGAACTCATTTGACACTTTGATCCTATGAGGACACAGCTGGATTTAAAAACCACTAAACAGGCCCTGCCAAACACCAACCAACTAGACCTATCAATGCCTTGGATTATGGCTTTCAGGTCCAGAACTGTGAGAAATAAATATTTGTTCTTTATAAGCTATCCAATTTATGATATTTTTGTTATAGTATTTTGAACAAACTAAGATAGATCAATTTCAGGCTTTGTCATAAGTAAAAAAAAWWWAWAAATAAAAATAAAAAATTCCAGCATAGTATGTGGGACAAGAGACAACTTTCAACTTCCTTTTACCACCAGATTATTATCATAGCTTCTTGAAAAATTCTATTTCTAAATCCATGGATTCTTTGTAAAATCTAAATCTCTGCCACTCCCATTCCGACCCCTGATTTTCTACATCAGCTACAGAAAGCTGAAATAAAACATACTTCTATACATTGTGTTGAACAGTATCACATTTAGCACACTTCAAATTTGTATGTCAAAACTGCCTATGTTGGGGTGGGGTTGTGGCTCAGTAGTAGAGTGCTTGATGAACATGTGTGAGGCCCTGGGTTTGATTCTCAGCACCACATATAAATAAGTAAAATAAAGTTCCATTGACAACCAAAAATAACTATTAAAAAAAAAACCCTGCCTATATTGGATATCCTCATGAGGGATGGATGTGAGAAGTCCTGCACAACTTAGAAGACTGCTGAGCCACAAAGTAGCCACACCTTCTTAAAATTCCCTCCACATACCAGAGAAATCCATGTATCCCAAGTTCCAGGAGATTAAGCCACTGGTTCTGCCTTTAGTCATTTCTGTCTGGCATGATAGCTCTAACACCTCCATGTTTAATACTTCTCATCATGTTACTATGCAAGTATTTACAAGAGTATATTACAAAGGATAAATTTTAATAGAATGCATTACAGCTAGTCATTTTCTTTGAGGTCTCAAAGATCTGGGTAGAGTTTATTTCCTCCTACTTAATCCCTCACAAAACATTTACAGAGCACCATTAACATAAGTAAACTCTTCAATATCCCTTTATCAAAATGCCATCACCAGTTACAACTCTGGATTTCATAATGCACTTACCAAGGATACCTTTCCCCACACCACATATCCCATTTAAGCGWAGTTCATCATTTTAGTACTTAAGTGCCTACAAGCATGAAGGAGTCTCCATGAGGCAAGAGAACTCACACCCATTGTAGGATAATCATCTTTCCAAACTAGCATCAAAAGCCAATATAACCCTATAGCTACTTCAACCATCAAAAGAGACCCCAAAGGTTTCAGTTCCATTCCCACTGAAAATGCTTGCTTTAAGAAGTTCTTAAAAATGGCCTGGGGGACTGGGGATATAGCTCATTTGGTAGCTTCTTGACAAATTCTAAGCCCCTGGATTCTTTGTAAGACCTAAATCTCTGCCACTCCCATTCTGACCCCTGAATGTCTATATTAGCTATAGAATGCTGAAATAAAACATACTTCTATACATTTATGCCTTGCATGCATAAGGCCCTAGGTTCAATCCCCAGCACCACCAAAAGAAAAAAAGAAAAAAAAAAAAAAACAGGCTGGGCTGGATGTTCTAAAACAGGACATATGTTAAGAACCCCAGCTCTGGACTCAGACTGCCTGGATTCAGATCTTCTGAATTTTTGGAGTCTGAACTTAAACTTACTATGTCTCTTTCTTCATCATAAAATGGAAATAATAATGCCTGTCTATAGGGCTATTTTCAAGATTAAATGAAATAGTACATGAAAAGGATCTAGAAATCTGCCCAGCATCTAAGAAAGAATTCAAATAGATTAGTTATTAGCTGTGATTTCAAGTGTCTGCTTACATAGTGGGTACTTAAGCACTCTTTAGAGAATACTGATTTTATGAATCTGCCTAAACTTGAGTTATGCAAGGTTTCCTAAATACAACAAGAGCATTGCACAAATCAATTATCATTAGAACTGGAAAATCCATATACCATACATCTCTTTGTTTCATTAATAAAATATCTTTTGAAAATGAGCTTACTAAAAAAGTGTATAAATAAACAAAAGAAAATGTGTTTTCTTTCTGAGGACTACCCCATAAATAAAATACATTATGTTTAAACTGACCGCTAGTTAGCTGAACATTCATTTCCTAATTTCCCTTGTCTCTCTAGCTCCCCAAATCTGCACAAGTACAAGATCAGCTACATAAAACTCTTACCTGTGTTAATGACCTATAAATGCCAGTCAGTAAGATGATGCATTCTCATTAGTGGTCTTCACCTCATTAGAAGCCTGCTTTCACTGATAATGGACCTCAGAGGTCAATTTAAAAAAATCTAGGAAAGAACTCTCTTTAATTTAACAGATGGACAGGTGTTTGGAAGCCAAGAGCTGTTCATGGTTGCATTCCACATGCCTACGAAAATTGCAAAGACATCTGCAGAAACCTAGCACTAAATCCCAACATGGTTCCTATTGAAGAAGCCACCAATAACTCTAATACAAGAGAGGACAAAATATAAATTTGATTGGATTTCCCCATTTAGTTTTCTGAAAGTACTAAGAGTCATCAGAGTGATCTCAATAGCTCCCCCCTGGAAAACACATCTCTATTAAACAGTCAAGAATTTATATTGGTTTTAATATCTGATTTCATCTCATCTAATAAATAAATGAACTGCAGGAGCAGCCTCCTTAAAAAAAAAAAAAGTGCAAAGTCATCCCCCCAGCCTTTTCAACCAAAGAACCACTATTGGAACATGAGTTACAATAGTTAAGTAATGTTAAAAAAAAAAAAAAGTGGTTTATTTCTGTTGTTCCTCAAAACCTCCATTCCTTTCTCCAAAGGGATTATTCAGTCTCAATGTGCCTGGGTGATTCTGTGACTACCTAATAAGGCAAACTGGGATTCACGTAAATAAGGGCACTTGTGAAGGTAAGAACAGGGCTACTGGGCAAGTGTGCTAAAAAGCAATTTCTACGATATGAAGGCTTATGCATGCACAAGTTATCCAAAGTGAGATGTTCTCAGAGATAAGCTGAAAAGTCTAAAGCAACCTCTTCAAAATAAACAAGGCAAATCTTATCAATTCAAGAGAAATCACATTCACAAAAACTCCTTGCATTTCTGCCAAATATGTATTTACAAACTATGCAGGAAAGAACTTGTGTGATACGACTGATATCCTGGCCAAGTCTCAAGATTTATAGTTAGTGACATTTGCAGTAACCAGGTAGCAAATTGAATCTCACAGGAAAGGGATGAAATATGGAAATGTAAAGTGAGTCCAAAAATAGTATTTTTCTTACCCGAAAAAGTGAAGCCTGGGAAATRTATGGATGGCTTTGTGTACTTATCTAAATCCCCTTTTCTATCATAAAATATTCACATTTCAGAAAAGCAAAATGAAGCAAAGAGGTAGCAAAGTAGAAAAAAAATATTCAAATGTTCAAAATACTGTCTGTTCATAACTGCTCCAGAGCAGAAAATGAAAAGCAGAATTTGATCTGGCTTTTCTTTCAGACCTTTCAATGATGATCCCGCTGATGCCACAGAATTCCGCAAAAACTTATCCAGACAGTCAAGGAGACCTTGTAATTTGCAAAGACTTGCCACAAGCATGTAGCTACACTTTACACAACGATCAAGACTTAATATTTCCTATCCTTCACTTTTGCTGACCTGTCAAAAAAAAAAAAAAAAACATGTCCCATCCTCAGAGGATGCTTTCCAGTCATGTTCGGAACTCTTCAATTCTCTACTAAAAGGAGCAAGCATCTAAGCAGCTTCCCAAGTAGCTCATTCAGTGGTTGACACACTCATCTGTCACTTAGCCTCTCTCAAACCTGTGGAATAATCCATTCCTTGGACTTAATGATACCTCTTTAAAAAAAAAAATGTACAGGAGCTCATTGGTTTTTGTAAAGACAATGTCAAGAAACTCGCAATTCGACAGGATTTCATTTAAAATCCTTTTAGAAAGTGGAATCTGTAAAAGCTAATTACTCCCAAACAGGAAATTAACTGAAACACACGCACACACACACACACACACACACACACACACACCCCACAAACCACACACAATCACACACCAAGCACACGTGCACAACACTCAAACTGGAGGGGTGGGGGGAATCGGTCAGACGCTTAGAAAGTATGAGTTAGGTAAAAGGCACACGGCCCTGGGTCGTGGTTTCTGCTCCAGAGCTGAGGCTCCTAGAGGACACRCTGGTGACAGCGTTCCCGCGGCGCTCCGCCAGGGACAACCCAAAGATCCCTCTTGGTGCCTGCCGGCATAYCATCCCTCCTTCCCTTCTCGGAGCGAAGGGCTCCGCCCGCGGTGACCGCAGCAGGTCAGGGTGGGGCGGGGGCGCACGGGCGCCGGCTCTCTCCACTCGTTCGGGAGCATGCGGGCGCCACTTACATGCCTGGCTGGAGCTGTAGGGCGCTTCCTGGCGGCCAGCTGGCGGCCACCCAAGCGCAGAAGCACCAGAGCCACAGTGGCGAGGTCATCTCAGCGAGGCCAAGCCACTCCGGCCACCGCCCGAACTGCGCGCTGTGCGCCGCTCGGAATCCGCCGAGTCCGAACCCGGCGCAGAAGTTGGGCTCGCCGGGCAGAAGTTGGAGTGCAGGGCTTGCGGGCCCGCGAGGTGCGTCTCCCTGAGGAGGGCGCGGCAGCGGCTCGGCCCCACCGGGCGCCACAGGCGATTGGGATCCCAGGAGGAGCGGCCAGAGGAGCCCCCGAGGCGCGGTGGCCGGCGAGCTGCACGGTCCTGCTCCGCCGGGAGCGACTGGAGCAGAGCGAGCCCAGCGGCCCCGCAGCCCCCGCAGCCCGGGTGCCATGGAAACGCGCTCGCCGCCCTCCCGCCCCGGCCCCTCCGGAGCGCTTAAAGAGACAGCCCCGCTGCCACCGCSGGCTCGACGCGTTGTTGGGCGTCCCCCACCCCCCAGCGCCCTCCTCACCCCCCTCCTCTCCACGCCAGCGCTGCGGGGACTAGAAGCGGCGGGGGCTGGGCAGTGGGGGCAGTGGGAGAAGCAGCTGGGACGCAAAATCAGGGGTTTCGCTGAATACTCAGCCTGACTCTACTCCCAACCTCTTCTGATCCACCCTCTAAGCACACACACACCCCAAAGCCCGCTAAAGATGCTAAGCTGCTCTGGTTTTCAGCCTCACATACCAACCTGCTCAGAACCAACCAGCTGTGCATCTGCTACAAGCAGAGACCAAAAGAAGGCTGACTTTTGATTCACACTCCTTCAGCTCACTCCCTACCTCGAGTCTGGGGAGTAGGTCCGAACACCAGACTAAGGGAGGTGTGTTTGAAGTGAAAACCAAATGGTAGTTGATTGAGTCAAATCTCTTGCCAAATCGACAGTTGCAGGACACATCTTCAGCTCATCCAGAAATCCTAGTTACTCAAAATGAGATAATCTCCCTTCATTTTATTTGGCCACCGTCTCACTCAATTTAGGCACCAGAGTTATAGGAAGGAGCCAACAGTTCTATAAAACTACTCCATCCTTCCCTGCAAACCAACTCCCTTTCCCCAAAAATATACGGAGAAGCCGTCAGTTGCGAGCCCCCACGGCCCTTCCAGAAGGGAACAGCGTCTGCTCTGAACGCGAAGCTTGGGTTGCGGTGCTGGCTAGCGCTGCCCGGGACGCACAGCCAAGAGTAGCGCGGTCGCCAGCAGCTCCGGCCTGAGGCTATGCCTGTGCTGGGCGCCAGCTGCTGTCTGGAAGGCCGCAAACCTCTGGAGTCTGTTTCGTGAAAATAAAAATCTATGGTGCATTGTGCCCTCCAACAAGGACAGCCCAAGCTCTGGAGCCATCGTCTGCAGTTTAACCCTGCAGAAAATGGAACCGTCTGCAATGAAACAACTTTTTTTTTCCTTTATTCCTAAACTTACCAAAAGTGTCTATCCAAGGACTCATTCATAATCAAACACTTAAAGCGATACCACCTGATTTCCACAGTCCTAGGACCCCTAAAATGATTTTTCTCAGAAGGTGTTTTTGGACTCCCTATTGCCTTTCATAGTTGAATTAACCATCTGGCTTTTAATTTCAGTCTTCTAAGCCTTTGTTCCCCTTTTTTCTCTTTCTGCTTTTTCTGTCACTAAAGAAGCAATTGGGCATTTACAGGAGGGACAGAGGAGCACACTTTTGGGGGGTTTCTGAAAAGGAATAAGAAGATGAGAGTGGGAGAGAACCACACTCCTGAATTTTTTAGCATTCTGTGACTTTGCTCTCCTTGTTTATTTAAGTTTGAAATTCATGCTAACTTGCAATGTTTTCTATTCCTCTTAGACTTATCTGTATATTTTTAACTTTTTAAATTCAAGTTTACAGTGAAAAATTCTGTAAAAACACAACTAAATGATATCTTTATCTTTTGGCAAATATCTTGAACACAGAATTTTAGAGCTGTTTACACAATAGAAATCATTATCTGACCCCTGTGTTTCATGAAAGAGGAATTAATTCTTACTTCCCTTTCTAAACACCAGTTATACATGAACCAGGCCTTCTCCAAACCCAAGAGATAGTGGACTTGGTGCTGACACCAGCTGTGGAGATGCATTCTCCTGTGGCTAACTCTCAATTAGTTCTGTTAACAATAGGCCCAGCACAGGTTAGTAAAATACACTGGTAATTTTAAAATTTAATTCTAAATTCTCCTAAACAGAATTGATTACTCAGTTTCACCTCCTTTTCTTTTTCCTCTCCCTCTTCTAGGGAAGCACTATTGACAGTAAAATGACCAAAGGCAGGTGGGGCACTATAAGGATGGGAATTAAGAAACTGGATAAGCCATAATGATTACAGCTTCTGAACTAGTGTAATGATTGTATAGTGTATGTGTACAGGTACAAAGATTAACCCTCTCCATGGATTCAGTTTTCTAGTTTGTCCTTTGGATGAAACTTAAAGGCTCCAGTTTGTTTCAATACTGTTTGATCTTAATTGTTTTGATGAAAATTTATAGTGTACCTAAAGATGATGATATAGATTAACTGTTCCCTGAAATTTCCTGTGACTTGCTAAGCCTTTCTTTGCTTCTGGACTAGTTTTAACTCTGCAGGAGTCTATCTTCAACTAATCTCATTCCCTTTGGGTATGTAAAAAGTTTCTATACAATTTTCTTTATATTAAAGAAAGATAAATAAATTTAGTATAAGTCATGGCTGAAATTCAGAGCTATTTTAAGAGCTAAATAATACAAGAATATATGTGAATTATTTGATTGCATGATTGTTTAGTAAAGGACAGTTTAGGTACATGGAAAGTAAATCACAAATTAGAAAAATTTCCTCCCATGATTTTGAAAGCACTTTATTGTAGATGAACATTTAAAATAGTATGGATGTGACAGGCTAAATATTAGTGTACATTTCATAAAGTAATGTTGATTTTACATTATTCTAGCACGGCTTATAACAAGAAAACAATGCCATGTAAGCAATTATCCTTAAATGAAAAAGCAAATGCATTAAAGTTTTTACCATAAACTGACATGAATCCAGCACTTCCTTTGTAATTTGTGCATACAATTTAAAAATAACTGGTTATGTGGTTTGATTGGCTGGTTATGCCATATCTTTAAAACAGGAGAGCATTATGAAACCTGTTGGCTACAGTCTTACAGATTAAAATAGCAATAGTTTGGTGGTTTCAGGGTTCTATGAACACACAAATTGAGGCTAGATACAGAAGAAAAAGAAAAGAAAATACCAGTTAATTATACCTTTATTGCCCAGAGTGAAAGACATTAAATTAACAAAGAAAGAGAATGAGCCAGTTATACAAAGAATCAGTTTTAAAAATTAAGAGAAGTGTTATGCTAATAATACYGCTTGCTCAGACATAAATTTCATGGGGTACAAAAACCAGATTCATCATGAATTGGCTTTACTTTTGTGAATGATCTTTTACACTTGCCTACCTAGATAGGCTCTTAAAAATAGATTTGACAAAGTAGATGAGTGTTCTCTCAGAGAGGARTCCAAAAGATTAGGAGAGGAGGGCGATCTCCAGTGGGCATGCCACATACCATTCTCTCTCCCTCCATACCTGCATCTAAGGCGTAATAAATCTAACGAGCGAGCTTCTTCCTTGTTAGGAGGTGGAGTAAGCCAATTTCATGCTTTATGTATGCTGGTTGTAAAAAGGAATGCTTACCTAAAAAGAAATAGATTCCGACCAGATGTTCTCAAAATCTTCCTCAGCTGCTGCTTGAAGCTTTACAGTCACCGAATACTTTATCTTCTCGTCTATCTTCTTCTAATTGAGAAATTGTTGATCCATGCAGTACGACAAGCAGGCTGCTGCAAAAACCTTCCTGCCAAAGCTTTTCAGCCCTGCTCTCCTTCTGCACAAAAACTTCTAGTGTCTATACGGGGACAGAAAAAAAGAGCAGGCCACTTCATCTAGCAGGTGTTGTGGGTTGAAAGAGGAGGAGGTCAGAAAGCAATTCTTCAAAGGATAGCTTCTGTCACCTGAAAGTGTAATAAATTGCCATTACAGAAATGCCTACAAGCACTAATGAGCCATGTACATTGAAATCTTGATGTCAGGAAAAAATAGAATGAAATTCACCCAGGAACCAACTAGGATCGTCACACCAAGATGTGAATAATCATTCTTGCTTTGATTTCATCTGCCACTAAATTTTGTTCCTACAGACCTATATTCCTCTCTCTCTTTAAAGGGATTAAAAATTCAACATAAAACTCCTAAGATGTTTGTCTAGTGATTTATACATAATTACTCAGTGCTGTGATACTTATTGGTCATAATGACTTACAAATCATATGTAAGTGATAATGGAATTACTAGCTCTGAAATTACATATTCGTATTGGAACATAATTAGAAGCTTAGCCCAGACATACATTTGTACTTTTTTCTGAAACTATACTATGCATTTGCATAGCTGATGCTTTTCGGTATATATGGAATAAGACACACGTAACATTAAATTTACAATCTTCACCTTTCTTAACTGAACAGTTCAGTAGGGTTGTGTATATCCACATTGTTGTGCAACAGATCTGTAGAATGTCTTCATTTTGTAAAACCGAAGCTCCATACCCATTAATATAAATTCTCCCTCCTTCTCTCCAGCCCTTAGCAGTCACCTTTCTACTTTTTCTTTCTATATTGACCACTTTAGATATTTCACAGGAGAATCATAAAGTATTTGTTTTAGTTTTTGTGAAAGGCTTAGTATATTTAGCGTCTTTTCATTATTTTGATAAGAGGCATTCTAACAGGTGTGAGGTGAGATCTCATTTGATTTTAATTTGCATTTCCCTGATGATTAGAGATATCCAGCAACTTTTTATGCATCTGTTGGCTACTTTTATGTCTTTGGAAAATGTGTATTCAGATTCTCCTCCCATTTTTTAATTGGGTTATTTTTTTTTGCCCTTAAATTCTTTGATTTTCTTACATTGTTTGGATATTAATCCCTCATCAGAGGTATGGTTGGCAAATATTTTCTTCTATTTT